CGCTGTCAGTGGCGGCCGGGACCCGCTGTCAGTGGCGGCCCTCCCGCCGCGTGGCGCTCAGAGACCTGCGGAGTGTGAACAGTCTTCTGAGCGCCTCACACGGTCCAGGGGATGTCACACTGAATCTACCAGTTTCTGTTGAATTTAACAAAGACTGTGAACGATGGCTCACGTCTGGAACGGTGCCGTACATATGTCCGTCTGCTGAACGCTAGGCACAACCGTTCATGGCTTCTTTATGAAATACACTTTCTGGGAATTGTGCACCAGTACCTAAATTAAGAAATTAGGAGTGCCCCGAGACGTGGCGTCTATAGAGTGTTGAATAGCACTGCATAAGCTTAACCGCAACGTACTAAAATGTGCCTTCTCAAAGATAGGGTCTGTGTATAAATGGCGGAAGGCACCCGCCAGCCATATCAGATGACTTCCAAGTCGAGGCGAGCTTCCTCTCTGGATTCGAAGTTTCGTCTCCGAAATATTATACAATACTCGGTGTAAGCACAAACCTGACTGCAGTAAGTACTAAGTACCCACCTCTTAGTGTGTGCAAAAGTGCAGAGCAGAAAGTACCCCCCCTTTTCGTTTGTTCAGCAGTACTCGAATGGTAAAAGTATGTAGGCAGGAGTAACATCGTTAAAGATCCCCGCCGTAATAAATCGCCCCATCGATAGGTATACTCGTATATCGCTTTATTGTTAGAACATAGGTGTATCGCCGCTAGCCTGTGACGTACCGATAATTAAAACTTTTGCAAGTGCGCATGCTGTACCTACTTAGTACTTACGTCTTATAAAATAAGTCTTATAAATATACATACCTACGGGGGGGGGGGGGCACACCATAATACAAATCAACCTAGGGTACCCCAAATCTAGCTTTCTCACCAGAGTTTAGGCCACTTATTTTTCATCCACTGGTTTTTTAACAAAAAAGAAAACATTTGCAAAAAAGTGCGGTATTCCGTCTCAAAGTTGTGGGGGCACCGCCCCCACGGCCCCAGAGTTGGAGGGGGGGGGGGCAAGCTGCTCCCACTGCCCCCCGTTCCCGCGCCTATGTAAACAAGTCATTTTGGATCAGTTAACGGTGTTATGAAAAATCAGCTTCTTGAAATAAAAAGTTCACTTTGCAGGTAGGTACCTATAACTACCTAAAAGCGGTAGCTTCTAGGTACATACTCTTGGTCAATAATTATTATGAATGAACAAGGACCCTTAAGTAAACGGTTAACTTCAATAAACGGTCACTTCTAACAAACACCGCATACCGGTCATTCTACACTGTAAACCAAATCTACAAGTTGGCTCCTTGTTACAAGTTTGGTTCCAATTCGCATAGGCGTCACCTTGTCGATTCACCAACCCCAGGCATGTTGGCCAGCAAACTAACAGTTTGTCTACAAGTTTGGTTCCAATTCGCATAGGCGTCACCTTGTCGATACCTTGTCGATTCACCAACCCCAGGCTTGTCGGCCAACAAACTAACAGTTTGTCTACAAGTTTGGTTCCAATTCGCATAGGCGTCACCTTGTTGAGTACTAGTCTGGGCCTTGTAAACCTACCAACTTCTGGATAGGTATAGCCGTTTCCTTGTCGGTTCAACAACCCCTGGTTTGTTGATGAACTAGCCTTTGACTGGGCATTGCTAGTTTACAAATTGTCAACAAGTAAGTGTACTAACGCTCAGTTCGAACTTGTTCTTCCTTACAATCGCTTTGTTTGCGTTGATAACCTTAAGAACTTACGATTCGCGTTCGTTTTCAATTGCCACGATACTGATTCAGGAAATATTTTCTATACGGACAGGTCATTTTTTGGCTGGAAGTGGTGCACAAAACCATGACTGGCATCAGTTATTGCTCAAAGGCTTGCGCTGACAAGAAACGAAATACTGATGGGTTATATAATCGATGAATGCATACACCACATCCATTCGGAAGTTTCTGGAATCATTAGTATTTATTACGGTCACGTACCTACATCACGTAGTATGTGATTAATACTATTGACTGGAGACAATTCCAAGTGCATTTTTTCGAATGGATGTGGTAAATGCATGAGGTAGGTATACCTATCGTGCACCGTCAGCATATAAGTCTTTGAAGCAAGAACTGCTGCGTATGTGGAAGAACATGGTTTTGTGCATCGCATCAAGCCAGAAGTATAACATGCCCGTATGACGAATATTTCCACATTGACCATAACAATCATGGCAGTTGCACGATCACGCAGATAATTCGAATAAATCATGATCGCCAACCAGATTAGCTTTTACAGCCCATATATGTCTATCAGTTAAGTTAAAAATACATAGAGTTGAATTAAAGGCAAATAAATGTATTTATATATAAAAAACACCGACCGCAAAACATCTGCTCACATGTGCATGCAAAGGTCTGGCCCACTTACATTGCGCGCGCAGGGGAAGGGAGGCGTCTCGACCGCGGGTATAGGCACGATTAGTGCGTCCCGCAGGCCAGAGCGGGCCTCACTCACAGCACGAACACCACAGTTCACAGATTTCACTTTTTACTGCACAAATGCTGGAACAGCCCTCGTCGCTGATCCATGCTGCACGGCGGCCGCGCGACAACTGCTGGTTTGAACGGTTTGAAACCGCCGCGCCGGGGCCGGACGGCGACCGCTGATTGGTCCGCCAAGTCTGACGTCACGGGCGCAGCTGACCATGTGTATGCTGACCAGCTGACCAGTACAAGTTAGGCGCTGGTTAAATAACCATGCGGCAACAAGTTTCCAAAACTGGTTAAGAAACAAACGTTGAAACAAATGTAGAGTTGGTCTGGATACTGAGAAGTTGGTGTGCATAGTAACTATTGACTCGTAGTTGTCACCTGACAAGCAATGCACCAGACAACGGCTTGTTTGAAAAGTATCAGTTGGTAAACATACCAAGAGATGATTGGTTATATTACACAAGACTTGTCAATTTGGTTTACAGTGTAATGACATGTTAATTTAACCTTAGGAAACACAGTCGCTCGCACAGGCGGCGGAACTGGGAGGGCACCGGGGCACCGTGCCCCCCTTTGATTTTGGCATTTTAACCCTCGCCGGCACAGGGGAGGGGTAGATGCAACCCCCCCTAAGATTTTTCGCGAATAACTCGCGCAAAAAGCGGCCGATCGCAACGAAACTTTCAGTACCCTCGCATTGATCAATTTTACACCTACCCTGAAAATTTCATGATCCTGACTCAAATGACCTTTGACCTGTGACCTCCTTTCCGAGACCATGTTTGGCCGGAATCGCGATTCGGCGTAGGTCGGCTCGCATTAGCCGCGCGTTTGCAAGTTTTTCGTGGTTTCATACGTTCAAACATGTGATTTGATGTTGTTCCCATGCATTAGGGTGGGTGTCAAGGTCACCTGAAGGTCAGGTCAGGTCATTGACCTTTGGTGACCTCGGTTCACTTTTTCGAGTTTTACATGTTTCTAGGCTGGTTTTTGGAGCTGAATTCGAATTTAGCAGCCATTTGAACATTTACTAAGTAGTTTTGGTGCCTTCGTAACATGTAACGAAGCTGTCAGAGGTGGATGACAGGTACTATGAATATACCCGTCACGACCCCTACCGGTTGACCTGACCTGACCTGACCCGACCTGGTCTAAACGCTTAACGACATCATCTGTGATAAAAACTAACACAATATTCGTGATCATCACCCCAAAAAACCTATTAGCAGCCACACTTTACGACTTTTTAACAGGTCCCGATATTCCCGATTTTTGGGTCATTAACCTGACCTTAAAGGTCAACCGATGACCTAGGACCTTAAAATTGGGTATCATTGGCTTCCTCTTGTGACGGGCAACACGCTCGTTTTTTTTCCGCGAAGCTCTAGCTCCATCAGGGGCCAAACGCGAGGGGGGTCGTACCAACCCCCTTGTGCCCTCGAAGGACTCAAAACATTTCCTCTGCCGGCGAGGGTTAACATTAGCCCTATGGGCGTTGCATGGAAAGAATGGGACCAAAAGTCGGCAGTGCCCCCCCCCCCTTAATTGAAGGTGTTCCGCCGCTACTGGTCGCTCATGACTCATGTAAGATAAAATATGACGAGTGATCATCGCATTAATAACTAATCAGGGCTGCGGAGTCGGAGTCGGAGTCGGAGTCGGAGTCGGTCGGAGTCGACAGTTGTGACCGGAGTCGGAGTCGGAGTCGGAGTCGATTTTAGAAACCCGAGCCGGAGTCGGAGTCGGAGTCACCGAAAATCTGTCGACTCCGCAGCCCTGCTAGGTCTGCGGAGTCGGAGTCGGGAGTTGGAGTCGGTCGGAGTCGACAATTCTGCCCGGAGTCGGAGTCGGAGTCGGAGCTGGTTTTTGAAAGCCGGAGTCGGAGTCGGAGTCGGAGTCGCCGAAAATCCATCGACTCCGCAGCCCTGTAACTAATATCACCGAAGAGGCTCCTATCGAGTGCTGTTGGAAGTTGGAACCCAGAATCTTACTAGATTCAAGGTTGGAACCTTGGACTATAGGTATGTTCGACATGGCTGGACATGGCGAGGCAGAGAGAAGTTGAAAAATAGGTAGCTACCTATGTAATTTCGGGCGCTGCATTTGTGAAAATTTAAATCATCAAAATGCAGGTAATATTTGACACATTGATCGGGGATACAATACAATAGCAGAGTAGGTACCTAAATACGCATAACGATTGCAATGCTGAGCGAATAGTAAACTCCGTGATGCACATTTACTTGCTCATGTACCTACCCCCTACCTACCTATCCGAGAACATTGAACTTTTAATGATACTTCGCAGCTTTGCTAAGCCCACTAGATGGCCTTAAATATGCCTTTATAAATAGGCCTATCCGGCCTATCGCATGTCGCTTTCGCTCATGGAGGAGCGTGCAAGGAAATAGCGCTTCAGCGTTTTAGGCTTTGGTTTGGGCTGTGCTTTTTTGGCATCGTTTTAGGTCTTATCAGTCACATTTTATGCATCCTTGAGCTGAGAGAGAGCGGAAGCGGAAACAAACACAAAACTGGGGAAGGTGCCAGCTTGGGTGCCAGCAGGAGGCTGTTGCGGTTTGATCTAAGGAGTGGGATCACGGTGAGACCAATTTTTTTTCTTCAATTAGATGATATGTAGATGCAAACATGTATTATGTGGTCAGTTGGCTGTGTTCCTGTCTCCTGTTTTAGCTTTAGCTTAGCCTAGAAATTGAAATGAGAGCATTGACATTTCTTTTCTAATCCTTTGTTGTTTCAAGGGGAACATTTTTTTATAATTCCTATTCAACTACCTATCTTAGCTACTGCCAATCCATGTTTATATAAAATCTCACAAATCAACTCAAGTAATAAACAATTGAAATCAAAATGGAGGTAGGTATGCAGGAAGTTACCTAACAATGAAAAGTTGTGACCATTAACTGAAATTATAAAACTGTATATAATATGTAAGCTCATACCTACCATGATCTTTTGTTTGGCTATGTTTCAGCTATGATTGTGATGGGACGCCACAATGAGTAGCTGAGGAAGCACTATGTTCTAACATTTTACCTGTTAACTATGGATGAGACCGTTGCGCCTTCAGAAGGTCGGGCAGTGACCAATGGTGAAGTGGATGAAAACCATCTCTCAGACCAGCTGGAATCTCTGGCAGTGTCAAAGGAGCCTGGCAAATCTGAGGCCAGACCCCAGCAGACACCCAGCGATGATGGAGCCGAGAGTGACAGTAGGAAGGGGTCCACTCAGAGCAGGTCCAAGGATACGACGCAGAATGGAGAGGAGGGCAGAGAGGGTCAGCAGCCCCCGCCGGAGACTGGCGGGGAAGCTCCCGTGATCACTGACTCCGGGCCGCTGATCTACCGCTGGGAGCCGGTGGAACCGGAGGGACCGGACACGGCAGGCACAGAGCAGCAGCCTCTTACCTTCCCTGCGGACCTCATCGCCAAAGATATGGGCACCAAGCACTGGCGGCCACAGGGAGTCACAAAGAAGATGATGGAGACCTACCATATCTACCAAATCAAAAAGGTAGAATGTGTTCAATCTTTTCCATAATGCCATGTGTGTATACACTATACATGTATCCTGAATTGGTTATTTTTATGGTTTTCTGTGTGATTTTAAGGTATGCATTTAGCTGCAGATGCCATTCATGTCATTTATTTGTTTCTTATGGTTTCAGCTTACTAGGCATCATCTGTCATATATGCCTTAGTAACTCTGCTGTATACCTTACCTTGCTGAACCATTGTGGTCTTTTCATTGCCATTCAAAGCAAGACCTGCCTTTTAGCCATAACCATTTTAGGCGATGGCTCATCATGTAACAATAGCACGCTGCTAAAACAACCTAAGGTTAGGCGTCATCTATCCCTGTGTTAACCGCTCGCCTTCTGCCCGACAGCCGCCGTCACACCACAAGAACGCCAAGTACGTGTGCCGTGTGTGTGAGCTGCACTGGGACACACTGCAGGCCGTCCAGAAACACGTCAGCGAGCAGCGGCACGCAGAGAGCACCCGGGTCAGTCGCGGGACCTGGGGTCGGTCTCGGGACCCGGGGTCGGTCGGAGGGCAGAGCGGGTTACGGCAGGGAAGGGACGAGATCGAGTCAGTCGGGAACGGGGAGAGTTAGTAGGGAGGACCGCGTGCAATGGTCAGTCGGGGAAGAATAAGTCAGAGGAGGAAAGGGACGAGATCCGGCGGTAACAGTGACCGGGCAAAGGGTTATTTCGTTTCGTTTTGCTTAATCTTCTCAGTAGGTAGCGGATTATAGACCAGCTGTGTGACAATATGCTAGCTACATTTTCTTTGAATTTTGTTTGAAGTGTTTTTTTAGATCGATCAACGAAGCAGAACTTGTTGCATATAGTTTGTCGTCTTCTGCAGCCCGGTCGTGATAATCCGGGTTGTCGGGAGAATAAAAAAGTACATAGTCTTCACTCGATCGGTCGACTTTACGGAGTTCATCTGGCTGCGACTAGTTCCACCAACTAAAGGCCACCGCTGTCATCGATTGTCATACATTTCATATATATGTTGTATATCGAGCGACAGAGCGAATTGAGCTCAGTGCCTTCAACTTTATCGTCATTGAGTGGCATTGGCAACCGCTATCTACGACAGGTGCTTACAGCTGGGATCAGGTGATCATTGTATTGGGTGGATTCTGCCTACGATAAACATATTTTTCGCGATATGCAATGGGGTCAGGGTTTTCGCACCTGCACGGCTCTCCATATCCTCTACAAGTTTGGCCGTTTTATCGTGGCCCCCACCACCACCCGTCCCCGCCCCGTCGGGTGGGTTCTATACACCGCACGGGTTATGACTCAGCCGCGGCCGGTCACCCGCCAACAAACAGCGCGCGTTTTAGCCGGTCGATAGCTCGTTACTCGGCCATGTCAGAAGGTGGGCACGCTGGTATTGCTGATAAATCGCCGGCGATTCTGTGATTACAGACTGCCGTTCTTTATTCCTTGGGGGAAAAAGCAGTGAAACAAGGAAAGAAGTGGAAGCGTCATTCAAAGCTTAAAGTGAGCTGCCATAGTTAAGTTATGTGATTGTTGCTTGTTTGCAGCGGTGCAGCCCCCCCAAAAAAAAACACTTTTTGCGGCTCGAGTGAACGCAGCATTGTTTTTTGATGCAGTTGGCATCGATCTCCGAGGCGGATGGCTCCAGCCTCGATCATATATTTTGTCTCCCGAACCGCTTTGGTATGTGCTCGGTTAAGTCACGCTTTCCACAGTACAGGCTGATCTTTCATTCCTTCTCTGTGTTTCGCAGTAGGATCGACTGCTTCCACCTGATGGCATTTTTTTCTTCGGACAAGCAGTCCCCAACAGACGCTCTCGACAGACAGGGCTGTTCCACTTACCGTTCGGTCGTGAGAACTGAGAATACTGTGAAATTGTGAAGTCAGGGTTCAGTGTCCGTATCCCTGTGCTTTGTAATTGCTTCCTGCAACATACACCCACCGCTGACATGTTGGCATCATCGTGTTCCGTTTTATCGGACACCCGTAAGTTTGCTGGTCCTCAGGGAACGCACATGTGAGGGAGCGCACCTGCTTCAGCTTCATTTGCGTATGCTGTGTCACCTAGCTTACTATATGGCCGCCACTGTAAGTGGAATGCAAGGCCTGTAGTCGACTAATGCAAACAAAGAAATATAGAAAATAGTAAAGACTAAAGACATTACTAAAAGTACAACAGGTCAGTCTGTCTGTATGACCCTACAATTAGCTGACCAGGTGTGTATGACCCCACCATTAGCTGACCTTTCCATCTGACCCACAGCGGCACCATTAGCTGACCTCTCCATCTGACCCCACAGCGGCACCGAGCTGGCCTCTGTCTGTATGACCCCACCATTAGCTGACCTCTCCATATTCTGACCCACAGCGGCACCAGGAGCTGACCTCTGTATGTGACCCCACAGCGGCACCAGGAGCTGACCTCTCCATCTGACCCACAGCGGCACCAGGTCGTTGACTTCTGTATCTGACCCACAGCGGCACAAGCAGCTGACATCTGTGTATGACCATTGACCCTAAGCGGCACATTTGCTTACCTCGCCATCTGACCCACAGCGGCACCAGGAGCTGACGGCGGTGCACTCGCTGCCGGAGCCGACGGCCGCGCAGACTGAGTGTCTGACGGCGCTGCTCACTGAGGTGTACCGGGAGCACGGCCTGACCGAGGGCCGGCTGGCGGAGCGGCGCGCGGTGGCCGACCAGCTGAAGGACACGCTGCGCCGCGGACTCGGCGAGGGCGGAGGTGAGGGTGGGCAGGGAGGCAGGGAGGGAGGGAGGCTGAGGACACGGTGCGGACCGGGCGAGCTGCGCCACGGAACGTTACAGAAAGGGGTACGAGACCGATGGGAAGGGGGACGTACGATACGTGGAGGTCACAATTGTGTGTGGACTTTACCTCTGCCCTTTAATTTCAGAGGCGCATTTCCCTGTCTAAAATATGTAATCACCTTTGGACTCGCGGTTGGCCTGAAGTGGACCTTATTCCCAGTAACTAGACATTTATTTACACACCTCCAGACTGCTCGCTGGAGGTATACGGCTCGTGCCGGCACGGCTGCGGGTTCACTGACTCGGTGCTGGACCTGGCTCTGCTGCCGGCTGAGGAGAGCCGCGGCGCCGCGCAGCTCACACAGGCCATACAGACGCTGCAGGACAGCGAGCTTTTCACGTGAGTGTACCGTCCCCCTCTGTGCGGCTGTACCCCTTCCTCCCTCCCTCCCCGACCTTTGGACTGCCCTATCTGCATCCTTCCCAGACGGACGGATGCACAGTCATGACCGGGGCCATATCGCAGCGACCCGGTCATAGGCAGACGCTGAGCTGGCAGTGGCGACTGAGTTAGGCTACAGAGCGCCATATAAGTGCATTGTTCCGCGCGTAATCGTTGATATGGTTGCTGTTGATACCGCGGTCACCAGACCAGTCCAAGTGCCCCTTCAGGGTGGGAGTGGGTGCTGATAGTTAATCATGCACTCAACTGCAGTCTGCAACGATAACAGTGTGCTATGCTAGAGGTGACGCACCGATTATTCAGGCGGACCGATAGTATAACGCATATGTACGGTTTCATGTCCTATCGTTCTTACGGGAAGTTTTTCTTACCCTTGCTGAAAATTGCACACCCATTCTGCTCTTGATAGATAATGGACCTCATTAGTCTCACCTCCTGTTTGTTTGATTCACAAAGTTAGTAACTCTTACATTACCAGCCAATTCCAGTCACCGTAATTCAGACTGACTGACCCAGGTGTCTTTGTGTCATAGCCAGCCTTCTAACGCTGCCTGTACTCAGCCACCCGTCCTCCGTTGCTGCCGGCCCGCCTGACGCTCCCCTGTCTGACTCCTGACTCTGACTCTGACTCTGACTCTCCCCCCGCATCCCCCGCCAGAGATGTGGAGCACGACTTCACGAGCTGGACGCCGCACGTGGGCTGCGTGCACGCGTCCAGCGGCCAGCGGTGTCAGCTGGCGCTGGGCGCCGAGCGGGACGTGTTGCTGGCCCGGCTGGTGGAGCTGTACGTGGGACTGGACGGCCGCGCGGCGCCGCTGGCAGTGGCGCTCCGACACCTGGCCAGGGTAACCCAGCCGAGCGGAGCGGATAGGGGCGAGGGACGGAGGCGGGTCGCCGCTGGGCGGGGTGTGTGCGGAGCGGTATTGGGTGTCATAGCATGAACGGACACAGTTGTGACAACCACAGCTACACGCAAAGTACGCCAAGGATCGCGATAGCTCTAGTGACTAGTACTACCAACCAGATGTTCGAAGATTACTTTGCATGTAGGTAATAGGTATGCGGGACGAGGCACATCAGACGTGTGACACTGCCTATGATTCGTTCGATTGATAAATGAAAGATGAACTATTTCAGTAACATAACACCGCCCCTCCGCCTCTGTTTCAGGTATGTGAGATGGACCGTCCGCACGCGGGCTCGCTGCCGCCGTCAGCGTTCGTGCTGATGACCATCTTCTTCCTGCAGCAGTGTGAGCCGCCCGTACTGCCGGCGCTGCACCAGATGGTCGGCGCCAACAACGACGACGACCAGCTCGACTTTGGTACGGACGCGGCACCGCAACGGGATAGGTTTCCGAGGGAGGGTTGTTAGATGACAGACAGGGACTCGTCATGGAAGGTCTGCTTTTTATGAATACATGTGCAGTGTTAATTAATACTTATTGTAAATTTGTTTGGCGCGAACTTAACTGAAAAAATATTCAGCTCAACTTGTAAAGTTGAGTTTTTGACGTAAAAAAATGTAGACAGCAATTTCAACATTGTTCACATTTGTACTGACGTCTGTAGATGTCTTTCTGATACTGCATGACGCTCATTACCCATGCCCTGTGTGTGCGGTTGCAGAGGCGGCGGCGGCGGCCTGCGGCTCGTGGCGCAGTGACAACACATCCGACCTGGGCACCCTGTGGCTGCGCATGCTGCGCTTCTACGCTCTTGAGCTGTCCGACAGCGACGCCGTGGTCTCCATTCGGCAGCGAGAGCTGGTCACGCGAGCCGACAAGGGCTGGAACAGCAAGAAAATCTCCATAGAGGGTAAGGCGATCCACGTTATAGAACGACACGCTAAATATTGTGGGTGTTTAAGATGACCGTCTTTGTCCTGCCATGACTGAACATACCTCGGAGTATCGGCATTAGACTAGTTTGTGTGGGTTACTCGTTTGGCTGACGGACCGCTGTTGTCCTTGACACTGTGTCCGACCGACCTCCCGTGATGCCGTGCCTATCCTCCCGGCCTGACGCCTCCGTCTCCCCCCCGCCAGACCCTGTGCAGAGTAAGCGGAACATCAGTCGCAGCATCAGCAGCGCGGCGGTGGCCGATGTGATGCTGGACCGTCTGCGCGCCGCGTGCCTCCTGTTCGGGGTGCCGCGGACCGCCGACGGGCCGGCCATCCACCTGGTGGCCGGCCGGGGCCCGCCGCCGGCCGCCGCCGCCCGGCTGGCCGCTCTGCTGGAGGGTCTGAGCGCCGAGCAGATGCAGTACCAGTTCAACCGACAGCTGCTCTGCGGAGAGGCGGTGAGACGAGGAGAAGAAACCCTAACATGCATGTGCATTGTCATATCTACATGGTATTAATGCAACAAGTCTATGACATTGCGCAATGCACATTTATTCTTTCACTCATGAATGCACAATGCACATTCATTAATTTGCTCAGTGACACTGGTATCATATTTGATGATGTGTCACTAACCTTACTGGGGCTGGTCAGCACGAGCGATAGAGGAACGAGAACTCATGTATTCATTCTGTCAAGTGTAGGGTATTTACTAGCCGGCGTGTTTCCCCGTTTCAGAGTATGCCGGCCGCGGCGGCGTGTTCCGCCCCTCCCGTTACCCACTGACGGCGTGTCCCCCCGTTTCAGAGTATGCCGGTGGTATGCAGCATCTGCCAGAAGGCCAACCACCTCCCTGACGACTGTCCCACTCTGGTGGTGCCTCCGGCCAGACAGCTGCCGCCGCCGACCGCCAAACAAGTCCAGCTGCTCGACAGGCTCTGCTCCGACGTATTCAGTTAGTATACGCGCCCGTATGGTACCAGAGGGACTCAGCGTGTGTCACCACTGCAGAGTATGTTGTATATTACAACAATATTACTTACATTTATCATTGAGTTAACTGAATTCGACCTCGCGATAGACGTGTGAAATATATACTTGTTCAGCCTCTTTGTTTGCTTGTATCTTTCAGTCATCTTTCTCTCAGTCGCCCCAGCGACTGAGCCGCTCCCTCTGACCCTCTCTGACCCCTCTGACCCCCCTCTGACCCCCTCTGACCCCTCCAGACCCTCTGACCCATTCTGACCCCCCTCTCCCCCTCTCCAGGCGACTGGGCGCCGCCGGCGCACGAGTACCAGGTGCGGGAGAACATGCTGCGCACAATCGAGGACTTTATCCGACACCAGGCGTTCCCGTCGGCGCGCCTCACCCTGTTCGGCTCGTCGTGCAACGGTTTCGGGTTCCGAAACTCCGACCTGGACATCTGCCTGACGTTCGACGACTGCTCGGACCCGCAGGTGACGCTGAGAGAGGGCGGGAGCCGGGAGGTGGGGGATCAGGGTGGTCTTGGACTAGTTTGGAGCGGGTTAGGACTTAGGATGGATGGCATAGGCTGGGGGATGTTAGAGTTGAGATATGACTTCTGGCTAGGGGTGGACGAATATCATGAGATCTGTTCGTCCGATAAACTGGTGTTCGTTTGGAGGCTCACCAGCCTGCTCCTACCATTCAGTGTCTGTATCTATGGCTGTCGCCGCCTGTCCCCCGTCTGACCGTGCCTCTCGTTTTCGCTAAACATGTCTGATCAATTACATCCATTTCCGCTCACAATCCCCCATTGTGTCCAACGGGCCAACCCTTCCTCGACCTGACCGTCTGCCTCTCCCTCCAGTCTCTGGACCAGCCGGACATCATCCTGAAGCTGGCCGAGACGCTGAAGAGGCTGCGGTTCATCTACAACGTCATCCCTATCAGCACGGCTAAGGTGCCGATCGTCAAGTTCACGGACCGCCGCTCCCGTCTGGAGGCGGACATTAGTCTGTACAATACGCTGGCGCAGCACAACACACTGCTGCTGCACACGTACGCCAAGCTGGACAGCCGGGCCAGGGTGAGTGTGGGGGGAGGGGGAGGGAGGGCGCGTCGGCGCCGGCCCGGCACGGTGGTAACCGTGGAGGAAGGCTCACTAGACTGCTGTTGGCCGTTTTGTTGCTAGTTGAAAATTGTGATAAACTCTGAGGAAGCAGATGACTTTGATACACATTAGATTTCATTGCGATGACTAGTTTCCGATATGCTTTTCGAGCCGGTGTGGTAGGCTTCCCTGTCCACCGTTGGCTGCCCATCGTTCTCCTTGCTGCGGCAGGCAAGAGGTGCAGTGTCCACGCTACTCCGAGTCACTGTCCCCTCACTGTCCCCCGCACCCGCCGATCAGCCCCTCCCATCTGACCTCCTCCTCCGCCCGACAGATACTCGGCTACATGGTGAAGCTGATGGCCAAGATCTGCGACATTTGTGACGCCTCGCGCGGCAGCCTCTCCAGCTACGCGTACACGCTGCTGCTCATCTACTACCTGCAGCGCTGCAAGCCGGCCGTGCTGCCGGTGCTGCAGGAACTGGACGCCGACAGCCGGCGGCCGCGGCTGGTCGACGGAGCCGACGTGTCCTTCTTCACCGAGCTGGGACGGCTGAGAGAGCTCTGGCCGGACGCCGGCCGCAACACCTGCTCGGTCGGAGAGCTGTGGATCGGCTTCCTGCGCTTCTACGGCGAGCACTTTGACTTTGAGCGGAACGTGGTGTGTATCCGCCGGATGGAGGTGCTCAGCAAGTTCGAGAAGCTCTGGAACGGCTCGTTTATCGCCATCGAGGACCCGTTCCTGCTGTCGCATAACCTGGGAGGTGGCGTGCGGCGGAAAAGTGAGTGGACTGGGCGGGCCGTGACTGCGGTTGTTGGCTGCATGCGTCTTACATGCAGAAGCGTGTCGTTGATGTCCAATGATCACTCAGTTTGTCCGTGGTGAAGTTCTTTGCTTAAGCAGAGTGCTTCACTCCATAGCAAGCTTAGCGCCACTGCTCCTGTTGGGAAGCGAACGGCCCCTTACTTTGTGCTCGACGGTCAGTGTGATCGTGTAACTGGCTATCCCCTTACGGCACCGTGCGACTCCTTTGTGTCACCGTATGACACCGTGTTGCTCTGTGCCGGCAGTGGCGTCGTTCATCCGCCGGACGTTCCTGCTGTGGCGTCTACACCACATGCGTCCGATCCCCAACTCCCTACCGCACGGATACAGGGACTTCAGGGTGAGTACGCTGAAATAGAGACACAACATCAACATAGAAATCCACAGAGGCACACAGACCGCGGAAGAATGGCAATACGAACAGCAAACTTCGTCAGTTATTACGGAGATTTCATGAGGTTAAAGTGTGCTTGTACAGTCATTTGTGGTGAAATTTATCTACTGATCAAACTGTATCAGTGTGTCATATTCCATGTATCGTTTCACGACGTCCGGAGACATTGGGACGCGGCCCCTCCCGCTGACGTCCCTATGTGTGTGTCTGTGTGTCTGGGCAGGCGTTCCTGATGTCGTCCGACTACCTATCCGAGGGGCCGCCGCCGAACGCCGGCGGCTGCCACTCGTGCGGCCGCATCGGCCACTGGGCGGCCGACTGTCCGCGCCGCCGGCCCCGCCGACCTCCGGCCGCAGGTAAACAGCCGCCTCAGGCGCCCGGCCAGCCCAACGGCCCGGCCCGCTCCCCGACCAAAGGACAGGGCCCGAACCGGTCACCGACCAAAGGGAACGGTCCGAACCACTCCCCGACCAAAGGGGACAACCCTGCCAGCTCCCCTACCAAAGGCGACGGTCCAGCCTCCTCCCAAACCAAACCAGACGGTCCGGCCCGGCCCCAGACCAAACCAGACGGACCGGCCCGACCCCAGCCAAAGTCCTCGGCCAGGAGAGGCCAGGACGGCGCGGCGCCGGCCGTTGGTGTCAGCCCCGCTGCAGCAGCAGCAGCGGCGGCCGCAGCAGCGGCGGCCGCAGCTGTGACCGCTGCTGCCGCCGCTGCTGCCGCCGCTGCTGCGTCCACCGGGGATGCCGGTCCCAACAGCGCTGTGTCGCCGGCGGCTCTGGCCGCGGCCGAGGCAGTTGAGGTCGCCGCGGCCGCTCCCACCGCCAAGAAAAGACAGAGGCATCGTACCCGCCGCCGGAAACCGGACAAGGCCGGCCCGGCGGCGGGCGCGCCGGAGCAGCCCGAGCCGCAGAGCACGCTCGTCTTTTACAACTCCAGACAGGGTGGCGGCGCGGCGCCGGCCGCGGACGTCGCCTCTGTGTGAGCGCGGCGGCTCTCCCCCTCCCATCTGTCCCGGGTCGGTGCGGGACTGCCGGGCGCGCTGGGCGGCTGTGGCGGCGGCGGGGCCGGCCGGAGAGGCGCCGGCGAGTGGCGCAGAGGCAACAGTCGACTTAAAGTATCCGGCGGCGGCCGGAGCGGTTACTGGTGGCGGGTGAGGGCGGCCGCACCAGAACCCCCGGACGGCAGGCCGCAACTTGATGGTGCTGTGTTGAAATCGATAGTGACGTCCCAGAAAATGTGCATCCCATCATAATCATCGGTGAATCGACTGGGGACGAGGCTTTATCCGTTATCGCTTTGTTATTGCTTGACAGATGTTTTAGAAATTGAATACAAACATGATCCATATGCACTTTTTCGCTGGAACAGCGGTGTCGGACTTCTCAGTCTTCTGAACTTAAATAATGGTTTTGGACTGCACTGTCGCTCACCACGGTTACAGGCATGCGACGAGTTAGATCCGGTGTCTTGAGCGGCAGCACTGTCGAAGGGAACAACACTCGCATCCCATGACGATTTCGACTCGTTTCATGCCTCAGCTGGAAAGTATTGGGGTTCCTTCAGTGGAAATCCTGGTCCGGGATGTTCCGGCGATGGACTATAATGCTCCCGAGGGCGGCGGTTTCCAGCTGATGAGAAGGAACGTCGGTCGCTGGACCGAGTGGGTGGCCCGAACCGTGGCGGCGTGTATGAGTGCGCAAAATTTTGGCATTTTTTTTTTCGCCCGACTTTCCATGATGGTACTTTGTGTCAGGATTTTATTACCTGCCCTCGTTGGCCATGTCGACGACAGGTGGTCACCCAAAACGCCCACACTGAATTCATAGAGAAATTAGCTTATTGCTGACATTCCCAAAACTGATCAGCGGCCTCGAATGGCTACGTCTGCGCGAGAACATGAATTTGTATTCCATCTCTAAAATCTTTCCTGTCGCAGACATATGGACGTTCCCATGAGCGGAAACGAGCTCGCACAAACATTGGAACTTCTCTTAGAATGATTCCTCTGTCTGCGCAGGCTCGGTATTTGTTATTTATCTGAGCTCATACGCAGATCGGCCTCACCGACTGCGTTTGTTCGGCGGTGACGCCTAACGGTAGCCTTCGCGCCCACTCACTTGTTCCGATGCTGACGTGAGACGTCATTTTACAAATACACAATGACAGAACAGGCCGCGGTCATCTCCCACAGCCCCGCACCAGCGGAGGTGCGGCTGCGGCTGCGGCCGTCTCGACCTTTCTCTGAACTGCGCCGGCCGGGTGTGGCCGGAATATGGACCGGTGCGCACAAACACCTCCCGTCGCCCCGACCGTCACCGCTGCTGCCATCTGGTGGCTGCTGAGAGGTGACGTCACACATGGCGTATCGCTCTGTGGAACGGGGTGATGTCATATCCCTTCCGCCGTGCGGTAGAGAGCTGCCAGGGAGCTGGACGTTTCCTGTTTTCTCTTCATCCAGTGTTGGAGACATCTCAGTTGTGCGTTCCCCGTAGCACCGTCTCTGCTTACGAGATGGGCGATTTCGCTGGCCACGGGTCTGATCAGCAGGCCAGACCACCCATGGGACTGTTGGGCTATGTTTGGCCTTCGCGGGTCCATAATGTCTCAATCCAGGCTCAGTCTCGCTTCTCACAAAGCAATAACATCGTATGCTTCCGCAGTCCCGCGATTTGTTTGCATTGAATGTTTGAACGAAGGCATCAGATGGTCGGATTCCTGCCACAATGCCACGCTCGGTAGATTCGACGTCGACCTCGTCGGATACGGATTGTGTGCCCTCTATCTAACTGGGACCTCAGGACCTCTGCCATTGTGAAGGCGGAAGGCGTGGTGACTGCCCACACCACTCCTATACTGCCACACGGCGAGCCGAAAACATCGGCTAGTCGGTGATTGAGCAGGCCGCCGTCCTCTGCTGTTGTCGGTGTGAGTACGGTCCCCGACACTTTCTGCTGTTATCGTGTTCCCGTCTCCGCTCCTGACAGACTGCAATGTGCAGTCAAAGTATGGTTGGCGGGGTTTCTTTGTCCTGAAGAGGGCGGGGCATGTGGGAGCCCCCCGCCCCTACAGGCTTTGTTCTTTGTGTAAAACAAAGCTTGAGCTTATGTCCTAGCGACCACACCCAGTAGTTATCGATCGGATTGGTCCTGCAATAGACTACTCTACATCCTGCGCATATTTCCTTTCTATTTCATCTGGTCCTGCACAGGGTTCCTCAGCGGGACATGTTTCCGCTGTATATCCTCTGTTCCTGCACATGTTTTCTCAGCAGGGAGGGTATGTTTCTGCTCAGCTACGACAGCGTCAATCCACTGTACAGCACCCTCAAAGACATGGCATGTGTAGTTATGACATGGACAAGTATCGTATTGAGAGAGTATATGAAATTCCACAATAAGAAACATCAAAACTACGGCGCCGACGAAGTGAACATACGAAACCGGTACGCCATTAACGTAACTTTCGCTAATTTTTTATCGTGGAATCTCATATACTCTCAATACAATACATGTCATTGTCATGTGTAAATCTGAGCACAATGGCTGAAGGTCTGCGTCCTGCAGTCATGGGCACTTACAGAGGACGGTCTGAGGGCGAGGAGGGCGAGTTTATACAGCTGAGTGCGAGGCACACACATCTGTACAGAGACTGGCCTCCGATATACAATATACATGCCGACCAAGGTCTGTCACTCGAGTGTGTCAGCGTTAGAGACATAAACAGTCGGCGCTGTATTCCGCGCAAACACCAGGGAAGACCAGTTCAGAGAAATGTCAGTTATCGGCACATTACATTTGACAGTGATTTTCTTTGCTTTTATGTGTGTCGTGATTCATCGGTGACAAAAACACTGCTTATCTGGCAAACTTATGATTTCTATTGATGATAAATAGAGGTGGAATCATAGCGGTAGAAGTTGATATTTGTAGGTGCTCCTGTTCCTTTTTCTGAAGCATAGCGAACGACCTCTAGTTTCACCGTTTATCTTTAAGTCCGTTATGCCTTCGTTTTGTAAATCTCTTTCAACGGAGATTACAGGGACATAATAAGATGCACGCCTGAGTTCCGACGAATTGAAGTGGAAGTGTGGACGCGATACAGAGTACGCTGCATTCACCTGTCATCTGTGGTCGTTAGGTGGCGCTTGTCACGAGTGCTACCAGCCACCTTTAACTCAATCGAAATGAACACCGTAAACACTCATGTTCTGTGTGTGCGATTCGACGTTTCATCGTGTAATTCGCTGCTGCTATTCCAGAGGACGAGCACCACCAGCCGGTGGAGAGGCGGGCCCCCCATCCCGCGCGAGAGTCACCGGCGCCACCGCGTCAGGAGCGAGTCCAGCCACCGCCGACCCAACAGCAGCCGCAGCAGCCCCAGCAGCCCCAGCATCAGCATCAGCCGCAGCCCCAGCAGCCCCCGGCCCAGCAGCCCCCGGCCCAGCAGCCCCCGGCCCAGCAGCCGCCCCAGCACCAGTACCATCCCCAGCAGCAGCAGCAGCAGCAGCACCTGCTGGTCGGCCGGGCGCCTGCGCTCATGGCCGACCCAAACTCGGCGGCGGCAGCTCATCTTCTGGCGCTGCTGGGCGGCGCCGGACCCGGTGGACCCCTTGGACCCGGACCCGGACCCGGTGACGCCGGTGGGCCGCGCCGGGTGCCCGGTACACACACGGCTGAGAGTCTGGAGCGTCAGCCGGCGCCGCGGCCCGGCCCGCCGGCCGGCCGGCCGCGGCCGCTGGGCCCGCCGCCGGGACTGGCGCCGCCCGACCTGGCGCAGGCGCTTCTGGCGCAGCTGCGCCAGCCGGGCCCGTGGCCGCAGGTGTGGCCGGGCCCGCCGCCGCCCTGGGGGCCGCCCTGGCCGGGCCGCTGACCCCAGTGAGCGGCGCCGTCCCCGTCCCCAGTACAGGGGGCTGGCGCCGTGTCCGGCTCAGTTCAAAGGAGACCGGCGTTGCGTCCGTCCCGACGGCCTTAGTGCCGCGCTCACAGACATGTGCGCGGAGCGTTTTATCTCCAGAGTGTAAACTTGCATGCGGTGCGATGTTTTTACAATGTTATTTAAAATGCGCGTGGGTGTTGAAACGGTTTCTTTTATCTGTGAACTTTTTACAACGTTTTTTGTTGTTTTTCCATCAATTGACCATCCGGTTTTTACTGTGATCTCTGGCGTGTTTTATGGCTCTGAGTCACGCTGATGCAATACAAACCAGATGAGCATCACGAGCTGTGTTTCGTGGTAAGACGGTAACCTCTGGACAGCAGCGGCAATACGCGCTACTATGTGAAATGCGGTTTTATCGTGTTAATTTATGTATTGGATTCCAAATCACGCGATGCACTATTCAAATCACATAGCACGATGCCAGGACAGGCAAACAAATACCTCTGACATGGTGTGTTCTCTAGACATTCCCCGACGCTGGAAGTAATACGTCTCACAACGGTGTCGTCTGACATTGCGGCGACTCGCACGACAGTCAGCAGCGATCAGTAGCCTGAGATGAACAGCTGCTGGGTGCCAGCTCCGTCCTGGCCCGGGCGAATTCGCTGACCGCTGCCATCCTGACCCGGGAAGACCCTTTGACCGCTGCCGTCTTGACCCGGGAAGATCCTTTGACCTCTTCCATCTTGGCCGGGACGAATTCGCTGCCCGCTGCCGTCTTGGCCTGGGAAGACCCTTTGACCGCTACCGTCTTGGCCGGGCAGAATTCTGACGCCCCTGCCGCCCTGTCCGGGCCGGACCCGCACACCGGCTCCGTCCTCTCCCAGCCGGCGCGCGCCGCCGAGCAGCTGTCGCTGACCGCTGCCGCCCTGACCCGGCAGCACCCTCACACCCCTGCCGCCCTGGCCGGGACGCACCCGCTGGCCGCTGCCGTCCTCGCCGAGCCGGCGGCGTCCCCCGCCCAGGAGCGGGCGCCCGCCGCCGCCCGGAGCCGGTCCGGAGCCGGAGCCGGAGCCGGAGCAGTCGAGCGCGCTCAGCTGGGCGATGTGTACCGACTGGGCCGACACCTGTCCGCCCGTGTGCGGGTCCACGCAGAAACACTGCGAGCCGCGGCACTGGCGGCGCTCAAAGTTGCCCAGCGAGTCGCAGTTGGTGGACGTGCCCACCAGTCCCAGCGCGCGAGTCTCCTCCTTCAGACGGGCGCACACTGCCGAAAGAGAGGAGGAGGGAGGGTCAGTTAGATCACTTGTATGACTAGCATCCACCAGTTTCCTGATCAATCATAGCGTAAGACTAGGCACCACTGTATATCCCTCCCCTTATCCCATCGGCTCACCGCAGTGCATCTGGTGCTGGTGCTGCCGGCCGCCCTGGTAGCCGCTCAGCCGGGTCCCCTCGGCGTCCACACAGTAACACTCGGAGCCGGTGCACTGTCGGGGCTCATAGTGTCCGGAGCGGTCACACTGCGGCAGCTCGAGGCCGAGCAGCGGCCGCGCCGACGCCGTCTGCAGCTGCTCGCGGCGGCGGCGCTCCTGCCAGCAGGGCTGCCGGCTGCCCAGCGCCGGCCGCTGCTCGCCGCACCGCAGGCTGGCCAGCTGGGAGACGTGCACGGTGCCGCCGGGGGCCGGCTGGCCGCTGGCCGGGTCCACGCAGTAGCACGTGCTGCCCTCGCACTGGTGGCTGTGGAAGCCGCCGAACTTGTCGCACACCACCGGGTGGCCCAGGCCGTCGCGCGACGCCTCCCACGACCGGCGCGCGCACGCTGACGGAGGGAGGAGGAGAAACACACTGTCACGTTCTGCATACACCGCCAATGGCAGACCGTTTATCCTGTGATGGAGACGGAATGTTCGCTCAGATTCACTGCACCTAACACGATGTTTTGTTATGCTTTGCATGATTTAGTAGCTTACTAAGTCATGCAATTATCAGATTTCATCTAATTCAGATAAAAGGTTGCTCCTGATATGTGCGCCTGATTCATGCTCATGGTAGCTTCTAATGTTTGCGCTAGACGGATCCTCTATCGGCACCTGATTGATGCTGTGCCGCACAACTCAGTAGTTTCTAATCTCGACGATAGATGACACTAGTATTCACGCCTGATTCATGCTGTGCCGCATGGCTCAGTAGTTCCTAGAGCGGGCGCTAGATGGCAGCACCATCTGCGCCTGATGCATGCTGTGCCGCATAGCACGGAACTCTGAAACAGCGCGTGAAACTCAGCTGCTAATGCGGCTGATGATCGGCAAATGCTTCCGTGACTGAAAACATTCCATTGAGCGTGAGTACGGGGAGGATGTTGGGTGCAGGGCTCCGTTTTCCGACTCACCGCACGACATGCTGGCTCTGTACTGGATCGGCTGATCGTAGCCCTCCAGGGTCTCGCCGTCGGGACTAACGCAGCGGCAGAGGTCGCCCGAGCACTGGACCGGCGCGAACTTCCCGGTCCGGTCACACTCGGGCTGCGGCTGGCCGGCCGGGGTCCGCCGGCGCTCCTCCTCGCAGGAGCGGCCGGCGCCCAGCAGCTGCCGCCGATGGGCGGCGCAGTCGAGGCTGCGCAGGTCGGCCACGTGCGCCTCCAGGCCGGGCAGCCGCTCGCCGGTGACGGCCTCCACGCAGTGGCACCGAGAGCCCACGCACTGGTGCGGCGCGAAGTTTCCGAGCTCGTCGCAGTTGACGCTCAGGCCGAGCAGACCACCCTGCTGCAACTCCCACTCGCGGCGGGAGCACAGGCAGCCCATGGCGGCGCCCTGGGCGCGGCTGGCGCGGTACCGCGGCAGCGGGGCGTTGTTCGGGTCCACGCAGAAACACTCTGAGCCCTGTGAAAGGTAGACGGGAAGGAATGTTTAACGAGGACAGGCAAGCCCGAGGTCCACAACAGAGGGACGTTTATTTCAATTCAGTCATTCACCAGTGACCACTATTATCTAATGAGCTCACCTTGCACTGTTTGGGGTGATATCTGCCGGTGCGGTCACAGTTTGGTTTCTCGACGCCCAGCAGCGGCTCGCTGCGTGCTTCATGCTGCCGCAGCTCGTCCCAGCAGGGCGTGTTGCCACCGAGCTGCGTGCGCAAAAAAAGAGATGGCACGGGTCATGTTTTGAGATGTCACATCCGACTCTGTCAAGTAAATCAGTCATTTGAAAGGTGCCTTTTGGTACCTAGCAGTCTTCCTATGCTAGCAGTGGTCAACCTATATACACTTGCAAATTACTGCACTCAGCGGTCGCCCAACCCCAGCCCATTCCACCCGACACTAGCCCCCGTTCCACCCCACACTAACCAGTGGTCGGCCAAGCCGGTCGGGAGCGCCCAGCCGCCTCCTCTGACCGCGCTGCCCGCCGAGCTGTCCTCCGAGCTGTCCGCGCTGTCCCCCGAGCTGTCCGCGCTGTCCCCCGAGCTGTCCGCGCTGCCCGCCGTGCTGTCCGCCGTGCTGTCCCGTCTCCTCGGCTCCGCAGCGGAGCTGGCCGATCTGACTGACGTGCACCGATCCGAGCTCGTCGCGCCTGGCGCCGGTCAGCGGGTCCACGCAGTGACACTGGGAGCCGACACACTGGCGGGGCGCAAAGTTACCGCGCCGGTCACAGGACACCGACTGGCCGCCGTGCCGGCCCGCCTGCAGCGTCTTCTGACGGGCGCACGCTGAAACACGGAGACGGGAAAAGTTGCAATTGATTGACTTATCGAGTAAAATGAACGTCAAGGATTATGCAGGACGGGCTTTGTGTTGTATCGTGTACAGTTATAAAGCGTAACGATCATTTGCATGTAAACAGATAATCATCATACTATTGTCATACGATGATTATCATACTATCTTGCAGAAGACACCGGAACAAACGCTTAGAAATATATGACAAGTGCACTACATAACATAACGCACCACAGGAGACGAGGTGCGCCTCGTGTCTGCCGACGGCCTCGAACTGTTTCATCTGCTCTCCCAGGGTATCAACACAGAAGCAGACGGAGCCGACGCACTGCTGCGGCCGGAACTGTCCGTCGGCGTCACAGTCGTGGTACCGCTGTCCGGGGATGGGCGGTCCCTGGCGACTGCGGGCGTCCAGACACGGCGTGTCCGACTGGTACTGCTGGACGGAGGGGGCGGCCAGCAGCAGCAGGCCGCAGAGCGGCGCACACACCCACCACACGGCCATGCCGCTCCTGACGTGGATAATAAAACACGCTCACTGGATACGTTCAGAGTACGTACGTATACATAGACTACTCGGCTATAAAAATACTGATGTTGACCGTTTAAATTATCATTAGTTGTAGCATTGAGCGCTCGTCGAAAAGTCTGAAATATATGAATACCCCATGAAAAGTTGAACGTTTATAAATAATTTGACAGCTGCTGCGGCTAGTGCACATTCATTTATAATGAGTCAGCCTGGGGATATAAATTCATTACGATCCATGTTTAAGTTGTTGGCATCGTTTCGCGCCATATGATAGCGGATACCTATAGAAGTTCGTATCAAAACCAAATAATGCGATATATATTTATGTGTGAATTTATTCCATTATAATAGAATCATAGCAGCAAGTTATATCTTTTGCAATGACTGCACATCCTACCTGTACTGCTGTTCTGTTGTCGATGAGCCTTATCCGCGGGAGTGGAGCGTTCAGCGTGCTCCTTCGGGGGCCGGTGCGGGCCGAATGGTGCCACCGGGCTGATCGGAGTGACTCGAGCGTATATACCGCGTGTGGGCCCGCGGCGGGATAAATAAACTCACCGCCAATGGAAACTGCCAGCCGCTCCTGGACTCTGTTTCATAATAAAACAGGCCAGGAATTCTGCGACCGGCGACGACCGACCTGTGACGACAGCTGGGACCGACCAGCGCCTATCAGCGACCGGCGACCAGTGCAGCGACCAGCGACCAAACAGCGTCGATTAGCAACCAGGGTTCGACCAGCGCCCATCATCGACCACCCGACCGGCGACCAGCTATCCAATCCGATCAGCGACCAGCGTTTAGGCCATCAGAAACCATCTGATCAGCGACCATAGCGACCAGTGACCATCAAAGACCATTAGCAGGCAGGGCAGCGGTTATGCCGATACCGCATCGGCAGAGACAGCGGCTTCTATCGCTCACACTTAACTACATGCATCAATGCTAAACTTTTAATTAAATAATTTCACTCTCTGGGACTCGAGAAGGCACCAGTACGGCCGTGAGAACGTTGAGGCTAGCACTCAGTAATCGGAGCTCCGTGGATTTTCCGCGAAAGCATAGGCCGTGGATATGTTTAGGTAGTACATACCGATTTCAATATGGAAAAATGCTCGGTATGTGTAAGTTGCGGCTGCCAGCTTCTGCGATAATGTTTACCGATGTAAGATTTTGTTCATACTGTGAGCACGACTAAACTGAAACGGCGACTTCATGGAAATATCGACATTACGCTGGCGATATCGACATCTAAAACGCGAGTGGCGAACGGTACGCTGTACCTATATACTTTCTCGTGTCGTGTCATCTGTGCCTGTGTAGTCCGTAAAACTATGTAGGTCGGGAGCGAGGCCCGTCGGTTAGTCCTGACTGCTAGTTAGCGAAGAGTGCTGATTCTTTTGACAGGCTTTATGCATGCATTCGTGCTCCTGCGTGGCCAGGAGCACGAATGCACGCAAAGTCCTTCAATATGCCAATGATATGGTATTTTAATGGAACGCATTTAATCTTAGTATATCATAAAATGGTACACGAGCTGCATAAACTTAGGAAGAAAAGAAAAACACATTTAAATTCCCGTTGTTACATATAAATACACTGATAAAAGCGCGTCCAAAACCTTTCAGCATTGCTCGAATGGCTCACATTATGTTGATCTGGAAGTCCCCAATCTACAGCCCAGCTCCGGTTGGAGGTGTCAGCGGTCGGAGAGCGCAGCCCCGTTCTCCGTATACTGAGTCCGTGCTGCCGCCTGTCGAGGAATCACTGAATTGTTTTTATCGAATAGACTCCCTATAGACGTGACGATATGCTGGAAAGCCCGTCTGCGTGTAGGCGCCCGGCCGATCTGTTTATATTGCCCGTGAGTTTATTTATCCGTCCCGGCCCCACACACCGTATACGCCGGAGCGTCGCCACGACAGCCGGTCGGCCCGGTGGCACCATTCGGTTTGGACCGGTCCGGCCAATAACACGCCATCTCCTCTCTGTAGGAGGATACGGTGCTGCGACAGCGCTGGGATAAGGTAAGCGACAGAGCCGAGCATTTACCTTCTTTTACATACATGCTAGCTCAGCGTAAAGTTTCCACAAAAATTCATGCTACTGCAAATTAGGAAGTAAAATTAAATTGATAGAAACAGTGAAATTATTTTTGATTGGTTAGTTATCAATGTATCATGAATGATTTACTTACCTAGGTAGCTGATTAATTAATAACAAACGAATCAATTGATAAATTAATATAACCTATTCATTTTACGCATTCATTATTTATATTTATCCCTTAGTCTGTGTTGACTGCTGAGGCCAACAACAGGCGGCAAAAGACAACGAATAAGTGACATTATCTTTTTAAGACTTTCGTCTATATAAACAATAAACATGCTATATTTTTAAAATAAAAGTCGATCGTCAAATAAAGCTATAACTGACACTAAAGTTGTGGCCTAATTCCTGCCGTTTATTAGCAGGAGCGGCATGGCCGTCTGGTGGGTGTGTGCGCCGCTCTGCGGCCTGCTGCTGCTGGCCGCCCCCTCCGTCCAGCAGTACCAGTCGGACACGCCGTGTCTGGACGCCCGCAGTCGCCAGGGACCGCCCGTCCCCGGACAGCGGTACCACGACTGTGACGCCGACGGACAGTTCCGGCCGCAGCAGTGCGTCGGCTCCGTCTGCTTCTGTGTTGATACTCTGGGAGAGCAGATGAGCCAGTTCGAGGCCGTCGGCAGACACGAGGCGCACCTCGTCTCCTGCGGTACGTCAATAATAACATTCTAGCGCGATGGTAGTTTAGTGGTGGCACATGATATGGCATATGTTAGTCTATGTTGATCCGGATTCCGGTGCCCTCTGAAAAAAATGCAATGATCGACAGTTTATCATGCTAATGGTAATGACGTACCCATTTGTAACTAGGACCTCAGCTAAGTCCGTTCTACAATCCCTAATCGATGCTACTCGATGCATCCGACCCGTTAATTGTTCTTTTTCCGTCTCTGTGTTTCAGAGTGCGCCCGTCAGAAGACGCTGCAGGCGGGCCGGCACGGCGGCCAGTCGGTATCCTGTGACCGGCGCGGTAACTTTGCGCCCCGCCAGTGTGTCGGCTCCCAGTGTCACTGCGTGGACCCGCTGACCGGCCAGAGACGCGACGAGCTCGGATCGGTGCACGTCAGTCAGATCGGCCAGCTCCGCTGCGGAGACGAGGGGACGGACCACGGCTCCACCGGGCAGTACGACCCGCCGCAGGTAACGGAAATGTAGCGCTTGGCGATATACGGGCTGAACAAATCCGTACAAATGTTTAAACGGCTTCAATCTACTGTGACCGAAGCGTTACAGCTCATCTCTCACAAATCTTCAACTCATTTAGACGGTAGCACCCGCTGTCCCGTTCTCATGGCTGTTCGGTAACGCTCGCTGCTCCTGCCGCCGTACGTACACTCGCTGTTTTGGGTCACGGTATCACCCACTGTCCTGCACCCTCAGCTGGGCGGCGAGACGCGCTGCTGGGACGAGCTGCGCGCCCACGAACAGCGCAGCGCCGGCGGAGGTCTGCTCGGCGCCTCTCGGCCCGACTGTGACCGGCTCGGTCGGTACAAGCCCACCCAGTGCCGCGGCTCCAAGTGCTACTGCGTCAAACCGGACGGCGAGCGGCTCACTCAGTATGAGATGGCGCCCCGCGAGAGGCCGCTCTATTGTGGTGAGTAAAGGACGGAACGGTCGGTAATCGGTAGAGTCTGTGAATTGAAATAGCTAATGGAACCGTCTGTTTCTCATGCGTTTAATCAGCGTTATAAAAGAACGTGATACGTTGCCTTCAGCTCCCACTGAAAACTATAAGTGACCTGACCAGTGCAGAGACCTGGCATGGTTTATATACCTATTTCAGTTATCATTGCTGATCTGGTTTGTGCGTTTACGTCACCACCCTACTATGACCAGTCACTGACCTGGCCTCCCCGCAGGCTGCGCGCGTCGCGTGCACGAGATCTCCGAGAGCGGGCTGGTGGGCGTCGTCCTCAGCTGTGACGAGCACGGCGACTACGACCCACGCCAGTGTGTGGGCTCGGTGTGCCACTGCGCCGACACGGTCACCGGCGAGAAACACCGCGGCTCGGTGGAGGTGCCGATTCACCGGTTCAGCACGCTCGACTGCTCGGCCCACGGTCACCGCCAGGTTCGTATAAAGCGCTGATCTATGGGGACGGGAGGCATGAGCTTTGCCTCTGGCTATCGTCGACGGTAGGTGGACGCCATAGCAGGCCAAGAAACGTGATTACGTCTCGTAGTCGTAACTGGGTTCTGATATTTTGTGAAACATTGCCAGGCTTACACGCAACGATAATCGGCGTTGACGTGCTCTTTTTAACCCTATTCCTGGCGGGCTCCGCCGGGACAAGAAACTGGCGGGGGGGGGGGGGGCCGATTCGGCCCCCCCTGAGATCTCGAGAACGAAGCAAGATAGCGACAAGCGGTAAACGGCATCGGATACGCATGGACAAGATCTACAATTTTTACTAAGGTCATTTTCAGGTCAGGTCAAAGATGACGTCACAGGGGTCGAAAAAGTCAAAATGGCGGCGCTAGATATGGAGAGAGTTTTTCTCGAATAACTTTCGAATTAGTCAAGATAGGAACAAACTAAGGGCATCATCGTGATCCTCTCGTCAATCCGCATCGAATGATATATATGTTGACCTCGAAAGGTCAAGGTCAAAGGTTGACCTCAGGTCACGTGACCTCGAGGTCATCATGTATATCATTCGATGCGTCTTGACGAGCTGAACACAATGAGACCATCCACGCGTCTGTATCTTGTTTCTGTACGGAGTTATTGGCCAAAAACCTTTGGTGACCTTTGATGACGTCACATGACCTCACAGCTGCCCAACAGCAAAACAGACCTCAAGGTAGTGAAGGTTGATCGTATATGAAGTCATGTATGATATATGGGGCCATTCCGACCCGTTTTAGTGGTAAAAACAGGGAGTTGATTTTTCCCCCATTGACTTATAATGGGGAGGTCGCGAAACTGACCTGACCTTAGGTCACCGATATCAAAATTCCGAGATATACAAATTGCACATACTGGTACCCTAACTAAAGCCTGAAGAGAAGAAATTGATCGGTCAAAAACTCTAGCTCTGGCGTGATTGCAAACTTTTCTGAGGTAGGGTCACCAAACCGCCTCTGGTGACCTGACCTGAGGTCAGATCAACTCAAAATTTTCAGACATGTTGCGTAGAAGCCTTATAGGAAAGTCAGAAAATTTGAGCTTCCTAGCTCAACGCGTTTCGGAGAAATAACCAAAAAACCTCAGGGGGGGAAAACCTCCTGAGGCCCCCCCCCCCGCCAGGAATAGGGTTAAGGTTTTGTAATTCAGCACTGAGAATCTGTCGGATCCCGCAGTTGACACGCTGTGCGCTGTGCTTCCACAGAATGAGCGACCACCGCTCGGTAGCAACACGCCCTGCTGGGACGAGCTGAGGCGGCATGAAGAAAGAAGCGAGCCGCTGCTGGGCGCCGAGAAACCCAACTGTGACCGCACCGGCAGATATCACCCCAAACAGTGCAGGGTGAGATCAGCGGCTCATAACGGCGATGGACTTAGTTAACACAAACGTTACTCTGCTGTGGACCTCGGGCTTCTCTACATTGTGTCATCTTTCAACATTTATTCCAATCTACCTTTCACAGGGCTCGGAGTGTTTCTGCGTGGACCCGAACAACTCTCCGCTGCCGCGGTACCGCGCCAGCCGCGCCCAGGGCGCCGCCATGGGCTGCCTGTGCTCCCGCCGCGAATGGGAGCTGCAGCAGGGCGGTCTGCTCGGCCTGAGCGTCAACTGCGACGAGCTCGGTAACTTCGCGCCGCACCAGTGTGTGGGCTCTCGGTGCCACTGCGTGGAAGCCGTCACCGGCGAGCGGCTGCCCGGCCTGGAGGCGCACGTGGCCGACCTGCGCAGCCTCGACTGCGCCGCCCACCGGCGGAGGCTGTTCGGCGGCGCCCGGTCGTGCCAGGAGCTGCGTCTGCAGATTCTCCCCGGTCAGCCACAGCCCGAGTGTGACCGAGACGGTAACCTCGCCGCGGTCCAGTGCGCCGGCGGCTTCTGCCACTGTGTGACGCCCGACGGGGAGGAGCTCAAGGGCTACAGACAGCCGGAACAGAACAGAGCCAGCATGTCATGCGGTGAGTCGGAAAACCACATCGTTCACCCAACATCTTACATGTAGCTCCTCCCACCATGTACGAGTATTTAGTACCTACACCTTGATACCGACAACATACACTGATCTTTATTTGTGCTAAATGGTTGCATTTTACGAAGTTTTTCATTTAGGTATATCATGCGGCACATCACATTTTAGGTGCAGATGGTACTGCCGTCTACCGCCCGCACTAGAAACTACTGATCCGTGCGGCACAGCATGAATCAGGCGTGAATACTAGTGCCATCTATCCTCGAGATTAGAAACTATTGAGTTGTGCGGCACAGCATGGATTAGGCGTGAAAACTAGTGCCACCTATCGTCGAGATTAGAAACTATTGTGTCGTGCGGCACAGCATGGATCAGGCGCAGACACTAGCGTCACCTATTGCTCAGATAGGAAACTACTGAGCCCCACGGCACAGTATGAAACAGGCGCAGATACTAGTCATCTAATATCTAGATTAGAAAACTAAGCCATGCGGGGCAGCATGAATCAGGCGCAAAAGTTAGAAGCCGGATGAGCTCGGCTTTGAATGCGCTCTGTTGCAGATAATTATCGACTGTGACTAACAATGCTGGGAAGAGTGTGCAATGAGAATGCAATGCTGGGAAGAGTGTGTATCAAGCATCGACAACGATTGTGACCGGCGTTTCATAACGGCCGTGTTTCTCCTCCTCCCTCCGTCAGCGTGCGCGCGCCGGTCGTGGGAGGTGTCGCGCGACGGCCTGGGCCACCCGGTGGTGTGCGACAAGTTCGGCGGCTTCCACAGCCACCAGTGCGAGGGCAGCACGTGCTACTGCGTGGACCCGGCCAGCGGCCAGCCGGCCCCCGGCGGCACCGTGCACGTCTCCCAGCTGGCCAGCCTGCGGTGCGGCGAGCAGCGGCCGGCGCTGGGCAGCCGGCAGCCCTGCTGGCAGGAGCGCCGCCGCCGCGAGCAGCTGCAGACGGCGTCGGCGCGGCCGCTGCTCGGCCTCGAGCTGCCCCTGTGTGACCGCTCCGGACACTTTGAGCCCCGACAGTGCACCGGCTCCGAGTGTTACTGTGTGGACGCCGAGGGGACCCGGCTGAGCGGCTACCAGGGCGGCCGGCAGCACCACCACCAGATGCACTGCGGTGAGCCAGAGGGGACCGGGGAGGGATACGCAGCCGTGTTCTAAGGGACGGATGAGGTGGGGAGACAACTGTCTTGAACTAGGTGGGGAGAGGATGTGACTGTCATAGACTAGCGATAAAGGTGACCTTACTGACCCACCCCCTCTGTTCGGCAGTGTGCGCCCGTCTGAAGGAGGAGACTCGCGCGCTGGGACTGGTGGGCACGTCCACCAACTGCGACTCGCTGGGCAACTTTGAGCGCCGCCAGTGCCGCGGCTCGCAGTGTTTCTGCGTGGACCCGCACACGGGCGGACAGGTGTCGGCCCAGTCGGTGCACATCGCCCAGCTGAGCGCGCTCGACTGCTCCGGCTCCGGCTCCGGACCGGCTCCGGGCGGCGGCGGGCGCCGGCTCCTCGGCGGGGGGCGGCCTCTGCTCGGCGGACAGGGAGGCTCCGGACAATCCGGAGGGACCGGACACTCCGGCTCCGGCTCCGGACAGTCGGGAGGAACTGGCCACTCCGGAGGCTCTGGCCACTCCGGAGGCTCTGGCTCTGGCCATTCAGGAGACTCTGGATCTGGTCATTCTGGTGGCTCCGGCTCCGGCCACTCCGGAGGTTCTGGGCACTCTGGAGGATCAGGCTCCGGCCATTCAGAGGGCTCTGGCTCTGGCCATTCAGGAGACTCTGGATCTGGTCATTCTGGTGGCTCCGGCTCCGGCCACTCCGGAGGTTCTGGGCACTCTGGAGACTCAGGCTCAGGCCACTCGGGAGGCTCAGGCTCTGGTCATTCAGGAGGTTCAGGATCTGGCCATTCCGGCGGCTCTGGGTCCGGTCATTCGGGAGGCTCAGGAGGCTCTGGGTCAGGTCACTCTGGTGGCTCCGGCTCCGGCAATTCAGGAGGTTCAGGCTCTGGGCACTCAGGTGGCTCAGGATCCGGCCACTCTGGCGGTACTGACCACTCTGGCGGCTCCGGCTCTGGTCACTCCGGTGGCACCGGCTACCCTGATCAGCTGCGTCCCGGGGAGGGCGGCAGCGGCACTCGGGTCCGACCCGGTGAGGGCGGCAGCGGCACTCGGGTCCGACCCGGGGAGGGCGGCAGCGGCACACGGCGGCTGCTGGGCGGCGGCCGGCCCCCGCTGGGGGTCAGCCGGTCGCCGCCGGGCGGCGGCGGCCCCCAGCTGCTGGGCGGGAGCACGCCCTGCTGGCAGGAGCGCAGCCGGATGATGCAGTTCATGGACCACGGACAGGCCGGGGACGGGTTCGTGCTGCCCGAGTGCGACCGCAGCGGCGGCTACCTGCCCAAACAGTGCCAGGTGGGTGCGACCGCAGCGGCGGCTACCTGCCCAAACAGTGCCAGGTGGGTGCGACTGTGGCCCACGAAATCCGGGAAAGGCACGGCCTATGTAACATAACAACCCTAGCCTGATCACCCTATTCTGTCTTATAGCTGTAAAAAAACCTATCGCCTCGGTAAAATGATTGGAAGATACGTAGGATAAACACGTTTTAGCTAGCTATCATTTGTTGCTCGTTACCCATTTATTTTGCCCCGTATGTTACTGCATCAACATCAACATTCACCGCCGTGACATGGACTGACGTTCGTTGTGATTTCCAGGGCTCTCAGTGCCGGTGCGTTGACCCGGCCGGAAACACCATCGAAAACTTCGTCAGGAACATCTGGGACGGTCCCGATATGAAGTGCCGTGAGTATTTACCTCCACACCACCTGCACAAACGGTGACCCATCCACTATCCAATTGAGCAGTGACTAGACATGGGTCGGTATCCCATGCGCTTTGCAGATCTGCACTCACCTAGTGACCCGACCTGAAGGCACATACTCTAAACTTTGTCGTGTCATTGACCCCTTCTCCGTGCTATGCACTGACCTGAGCTGAAGTGTCCTTAGCTGTGTATGTGACCTGCCACTGACCAGTGACCACCGACACCCTCCCTCAGAGTGCGCCCGGCTGCGGTACGATCTGGGCCGCTCCGGCCGAGTGGGCGTGTCCGCCGTCTGCGACGACCTCGGCAACTTCGAGACACGACAGTGCACCGGCTCGCAGTGCATCTGCGTCGATCACGTGACCGGCCAGAGGGTGGAGGGAACGGAGGTGAGCTGCCATCACGTGACCGGACGGAGGAGATGACAGGAGACAAACGTCCGTTTTCTCACCATCGATCAATCGAGTGATGCATGAAATGACGATATGTGTTCCTCATTGTGCGGGTATAGGGCTTTACAATCATTCTTAAGAGACAGTTAAGCGCCTTTTTGACAGGTTCTTAGATCATAAATGACTCGTCTTGCCGTTGTTCGTAGAACGTGTGTTTCCTGAGCTGCCGTCACCGTCTGTTCGTTCACCGCCACTGTCCTACCCTCACCGCCCGCTCGTGTCTCACCACAGAGCGTGCACGTCTCCGAGCTGAACCGTCGGGAGGACTGGTGTCCGAGTCACCGCTCGAGCCACCCGTGCTGGGACGAGCAGCGCCGCACCGAGACACAGGCCGACGGCCGGCCCCTGCTCGGCGCCAGCCCGCCACAGTGCGACCTCTTCGGACAGTACGCCGCCAAACAGTGCAAGGTAAAGCCGGATGGGGAGGACGTGAAGGATAGTGTCAATGGTGGAGGTGGGTACGAGTCCTCAGTCCTCACAGCAGCTCTGCATGGAAATTAGAGAAAGAGGTGAAAGGGGAGTGAAAGGAAAATGGAGCGCGACAAAGTTAGAGACACGACGCACAGTCTGATAACGCTCGACTTTAATGGCCGTCTACCGAGGACAATACATCCTGCGCTCACGGGGTGACGCTGACGACCCTCTGCACCCTGCGTCCGCAGGGCAGCCAGTGCTGGTGTGTCGGCCCGGCCAACGAGCAGATCGAGGGCTACATGGCGCCCATCAGCCGCTCGTCCGAGATGCACTGCAGCTGCGCCCGCGAGCAGTGGCAGCTGCGCCGTAAACGGCTGCTCGGGCGGTCCGTGAGCTGCGACCGGCTAGGCAACTACGAGCCGCAGCAGTGCACCGGATCCAGCTGCTTCCAGGTGAGGCAACGCAGCGAAAAATCGGCTCCAGGCTGCTATCAAGTACGGGAGTGCAAGCTGCTGTTAGCTCATACCAGTTAAAACGGCACCATATTGTGTCATGATAGGAATTTGTTGAGGGTCTAAGGCCCTCACTCCATGCAAAGCGGATTCAAAACGGATGGCAGAGGGCATCACAGCTGACTCCACTTGCTCGTGACTATCCCCCAAACGCTGACCGTCCCCGTCCCGCCCAGGTGGACACGGAGACAGGCCGCCGGGTACGGCAGCAGCGGCAGCACCACTCGCCGTCCGACCGTCCGGCCCCGCCGGTGTCGGAGCCGCTGACGGAGCCGGCGCCCTGTGAACGCTCGGCGCGCCGACTGGCCGGCACCGACCGGCAGCCCGTGTGCGCCGCCGACGGCACGTTCGCGCCGCTCCAGTGCCGCGGGGACACGTGCTACTGTGTGGACCCGGACGGCGGCCAGCTGCCCTACCGCTCCCGGCCAGCGGACCGCGCAACCTGCCGTGAGTACCGAGAGGGAGACAGATAGCCGGCGCCACCTGCCGTGAGTACAGAGGGAGCGATAGAGAAGCCGCCTGCCGTGAGTACCGAGAGAAGAGACAGACAGACATAGCTGGCGTCACCTGCCGTGAGTTAAGTACTGAGGGAACGATAGAGAGGCGGCGTCACCTCTCGTGAGTAGCGAGGTAACGATAGAGAGACCACCTGCCGTGAGTACCTATTGAGGGAACGAGAGGCGGCGCATCTGCCGTGAGTGCTGAGAGATGGACGGGTGTCTCCTGCCGTGAGTAGCGAGCTGTAGACAAACAGACGGCGCCACCTGCCCTCAACCTTAGCGGAGAAACGCCCGACGCTGCTCTGTCCAATATAGCCTAGTCTTGTTCCGTTACGATTGTTGACCTGGACCCTCTGAATGACCTCCTCCCTGGTCTCTCTGCCCTCAGACTGCGCGCGCCGCGAGCACGAGTTGCACACGTCCAGCGTGCGCGGCCTGACCGTGCGCTGCGACGATCGTGGCGACTACGCGCCGGTCCAGTGTCTAGGCACCCAGTGTCACTGCGTCGAGCGCGCCACCGGCCACTGGAGGCTCGACGTGCCCGGACAGCACGTGGCGAACATCGAGAAACTCAACTGCGGGGCGGGCGCCGGACAGACCGGCTACTGAGGCGACAGAACTGTTGGGGCGTCCTCGCACGAGTGTCATACAGCCTTGGTTGGATGACTGGCGGTAGACTGCACACAGTGCACAGCTGAAATGGCCCGCGCATCGACACGGTGCCGGATAGAGGACGGTCTTCATACAGTTGTCGCTGCTGAATGTAACATGTCCACTACGATATCGAAGACATTGTGACAAGACATCGTGAACCTGCCAGCGTTAGATGAGCCTGAAGTAGTTCGTAATGTTCTGTTACATCGCAATAATACAAACAGACAAATGGGATCCGCTTTTTCTTTCGCTCAGAATGAAAAGACCGATTACGAGAAGGGCTCGATTGTACCCGAGATACCCTCTTCCCAAATAAATATCCAAATGTTGTGTACACGAGGGAACGATTAAAAAAGACAAATAGGATAGAGGAGAGAAAACAAGGAAACAACGAGACATGAGGGAACAACGTAGCGTTCTTCTGACTGCCACCAGGAAGAACTGTGGACATAATGGAACACGATATTGAACAGTCAGGCATCGCCCATCGGCGTCGTTTAAAAAGAAAAAATAAACAATGCAACAAAGCAAAACACAGTGGTAGGAAGATATATATGGACAGGTAGGCATTCTTATCCTTATATTTGTGATATTTCTAACAATCCTCAGAGCCATACGTCACACGCATAACGCAGAGACTGAAGGAGGCGGGGTCTTATCACCGAGGATAACTGTGAATAGGAAGCCCGGTGCGTATCGCCGGCGCGGTGGTCGGCGCGAGACGAGGTGATGAGGAGGCGGCGGGCCGAGTCTTCCCTCAGTAGCGCCCTCCGACCCCTGCTGCCTACACCGGTCTCCGGTCCGTCCGTCCGTCAGTCCGTCCGTCCGTCCGTCCGTCCGTCCGTCCGTCCGTCAGTCCGTCAGTCCGTCAGTCCGTCAGTCCGTCAGTCCGTCAGTCCGTCAGTCCGTCAGTCAGTCAGTCAGTCAGTCAGTCAGTCAGTCAGTCAGTCAGTCAGTCAGTCAGTCAGTCAGTCAGTCAGTCAGTCAGTCAGTCAGTCAGTCAGTCAGTCAGTCAGTCAGTCAGTCAGTCAGTCAGTTAGTCAGCAGTCGACGGATCGTCAACGACACCAGCACGTGGCCGATATAAGAAAATATCGAGGCTGCTAGAAACGAAAATTAGCACATCGCCGTTTTAATTTTTCGATTTGTGGGGTTGGGTTGGGGTTAATGATTAATTGAAGCTTTAAACATTTTCCAAGAACCTTATATTCTCCTATGAATAAAGCAGTTTGTGCAGTGAGTTATTTCGCATAATCGTTGGTGAGGTAAGGTTAAGCACACTCTTCAGGATGGATCGGAAGAAGTCTGTGACGACGCGGATCCACCAGCCGCCGGCGCCGCCCTGTTGGTTCCGCACCGTCTTCTACCTGTCGTTCGGCGCCTGGGTGCTGCTGCAGGCCGCCACCGAGTACTACACCACTAGATGCCTCCACATCTACACCCATCTACCCATCTTCGAGAAGGAGAAACAGGTGACGGCGGCCTTCCTCAACATCGTGTCGGTGGGAATTCTGACGGTGTTTTTGGTGCTGTCGTTCATTTACGGCATCTGCACCGTGAGCAAGCTGATCGTGCTCTCCAGCTCGGCGTTTCTGTCCACGCTGCTCATCCTCAACATCCTGGCCGTCGGGATTCTGATGTCGAGTCACGTAAGTACCGTACTTGTCGACCTGCATCGGCTTACATCCGTTGGGAAAGAGCTGGGAGAGAATGTCAAAGACCTACATTTATATTTCCCCTGTTTTCACTTCCCTTGAAAACCGAAGTTGAAAAAGCAACTCATCGCAGCTCATAGAGACTTTAAGATGATAAGCTGTAATTGTCATCATCGCTTGTCACTGTAGGAAAATCAAAACTATCTATTGGAGACCAGGCCTAAAGGGTAGGCACCACCAGGGCTACGGAGTCGGAGTCGGAGTCGGAGTCGGAGTCGGTCGGAGTCCACAGTTGTGACCGGAGTCGGAGTCGGAGTTGGTTTTTGAAAGCCGGAGTCGGAGTCGGAGTCGGAGTCGCCGTAAATCCATCGACTCCGCAGCCCTGGGCACCACTATCCACTGACGCCGTGTCCTCTCTTCCAGTTTGGCCTGGACATCGGTCCGCTGGCCAGAAACAAGCGCGTGCTGACCATCTACCACAAGAACGTCTCGAAGGAGTACTGGCGGGGCGAGATACGCGCCTGGGCCGCCTACTACCCGCTGCCGGCGGGCGGCGGCAGCACTACGGCCGGCCCGTCCGCTCCGAGCCTGCCCAGCACGGCCGGTCCCACCGGCACACCGTCCTCCCGGGCCGACGGCGACCCCACGCCGCAGCCGGCGGCCAACGACACCGCCCCGGCGGCCGGCGGTAACGGCACCGACACCACTGGCGGCCCGTCGACCGGCGCGCCGGCCGTCGACGACCTGGGACGGCGCAGCGCCTGGGTGGAGAGCCGCGCGCTGCACCAGCTGCGCTTCTTCCAGCACCGCGCCTTCTGCTGCGGCATCGAGGGGCCGGCCGACTACGAGCTGCTGAACGCGCAAACGCCGCCCAGCTGCGTCTGCCGCGACGAGGGCCACCAGTACGGCCAGCACGTGCGGCCGCCGTGCACGGCGCGCGCGCACACGCTGGCTAACGGCACGGTGAGCGCCGTGTGGCGCACCGGCTGTCTGCAGGTGAAGCGCGAGCTGATGGACGGCCTGGTGAGCCTGCGCGACATGCTGGCCGCCACGGTGGCGCTCCAGGCGGCCGTCATGGCGCTGGGCCTGGTGCTCGGTCTGAACATGCCCAGCAGTCTGTCGGACGACTCGGATGACGAGGGAGGCGACTATTAGACGGCCACCGACGCCGGGTACTGCGGCACAGGTGAAACTGGGTGCAATGAGCAGATTCGGTGGATAACACAGGCAGATGAGGCTTCATTGCAGCGATATAGAAGGAAACTGTAAAGAGGCCAGCGAAGTGAAACATGGTGTTGGTGTTGGAAGCAAATAGGTATTAGGATATCGACTGTCGGCGATGACCGCAGATGCCAGGTATTGCCCGTAGAATCTGTGGCACTGCGTAGCGCTGGAGGTCGGGAGAGCGACAACTAAATCCAGAAGCGGGCCAGCGGCCAAAGACCGGTCCGTCAACAGCGGGCGATACTACCTGGCCACCTCCGACAGATACGAGTCGGCCACAGCCGGCGGTGACGAAACGACGACCTCCACGACTTATATAGCCAGCGGAGGGCGATTTGGCGATGTCCAGAAGCTAGTCGATTGCTGACAGCTAGATAACTGTGAGACCGAGAAGAGAAAAACTGGTGTAAATAAAATATATTTACTATGCGATACGATGTGTTATCTGCTAAACTGAGGAGCTACCTACCACATAAAGTGGAAGTCAGACGTCTGCGCAATATCGTTTGGTTGACGGGTTATAAAGACACCCCTATCCACCGGTAACGCCCAGTGGGCAGGCCATTGCGGCACCTGCGCCTTTCGATCATCAGGATAAACTCGTATTGGAGACGAGCGCAGTGCTGCTGTAGACCAGCTGATAATTACTCGACCACGGCTTCACTAATTATCCGTGAAGGAAGGCCACGTGTTCCCGCACCCAGGCACACCCGGCAGCAGGCTCAGCGCTCTAACTAATCGCAAGGCGACCAATACCGGGGAGGGGGGGGGGGGGGGGGTCAATACGACGGCAGCAGAGGTTCGTGGCTGAGAGACCCCACAAGACAGGACGCTGATTAGCAAGAGATGCTGGGGCGGGAGCATGTTCTTGAAGGAACGGCTGGTGTAACAAACATCCTGCACTCGACCCAAACGTGGATGTTCACGGGAGGGGCCCTGGGGCATCACCCTTGCTTGATTATGTTGCAATATGCAGTGGCTGGGGTGTTTTGAACTTTACTTAGTTTTATTTCATTTTACACATAGACTCTAGATAGTATCTTGTCAGCAAAAGCGAGGCATCAAATAGATTGGTAAAATAAAGATATACACATTTAAATAGATCTTATCTATTTCAATGCTCAGAAGTCGATCACAATTCTACTTCTAGATCCAAATCGAAATCGAAACATCTCACAAATGACTGCACAGCAGTTCTAGCTTGCCCCAATCATGATTCACATTTTCTACATATGCTGAGGGAAGGCCAGCACCCAGTACCTACTAAAACACCTGAAGCCCAGTCTGCAAAACATGACAATCTCAACAAGGTCTCATTTGTATGTACCTACTTGGTGAAGTGGCACACTTTGCAGTGCAGATTATGGAGTGGTCAGTGGTGTGAAGTTAGAGTGGAGCAGTGTAAGCTCTTGGTGGTACCGTGCTAAGCCTCTGTGCTGAGTTTTGTAAAAAAAAAACTTGTGCACAAGAAATGCAATGAGGTCAGCCAGGGAAAATTGACCTCATTCTCCTATTGCACTTTAGTGTCATCATGAGCACATATTTTTAAATTCCAAAGCAAAAATTGTAGGTCTTGCTTGGTGTTGTTTGACGTGAGACTTGATGTGAAAAAGTTTGATGTGAAACTTGCTTGATGTCGTTTGATGGTGCCTGGTTGATGTGGGCTGGTCCAGCTTTGTCACCCTGGCCAGTGTGGCTCGTTGAAACCACCGCCATAATTTGCAGTCTGAGGATTACCAAGTGTTCACCCTTAAAAGTAGGTAAATACTCCCAGAGAGATTCAAATGCAGGCAGGGCTGCGGAGTCGATGGATTTACGGCGACTCCGACTCCGACTCCGACTCCGGCTTTCAAAAACCAACTCCGACTCCGACTCCGACTCCGGGCAGAAATGTCGACTCCGATCGACTCCAACTCCCGACTCCGACTCCGCACACCTGGCAGGGCTGCGGAGTTGACAGATTTTCGGTGACTCCGACTCCGACTCCGGCTGGGGTTTCCAATATCGACTCCGACTCCAACTCCGGTCACAACTGTCGACTCTGACCGACTCCGACTCCGACTCTGACTCCGCAGCCCTGAATGCAGGCATATTTTCCAATATTTGAGATTACTTTGCATTTACAGTTTCATAAGAGAGCCAGAATATAAACCAAACATACCTAACATACAATTACTTTGAAACTTAACTTTTCATCTACAAATCTGTCACCCATGAACAGATGACCAGAAGTACCCTCAGCTAACTCCTAAATCAATGCACAGAAAATGATATTAAATGGTGACAGCATACAATAAAATTGTATCTTCAGTTTGAATTTTCTCAAATAAGTAACTCAAAACCAGATCAATTTAGCAAAACTTCAATGGAAAAAAGGTTAAACTGTCAGTCCATCCATTCATACTTTCCAATCAAGCTGAAGCTTACTGATCTTTGTTGAGAATGAGACTGCTTCAATCGGCCCTTTGGCCAGGAGCGATGGAACACCTTCAATTAAGCGGGGGGGGGGGGGGGCACTGCCGACTTGGTCCCATTCTTTCCATGCAACACCAATAGGGCTAATGTTAAAATGCCAAAATCAAAGGGGGGCACGGTGCTCGGTGCCCTCCCCATTCCGCCGCCTATGCCTTTGGCTAGGATTGGGATCAAAGTTGAAGTGTATTGGATGATAAAAAGAATGAAAAATGACACACTCAGTATCTAGACCATGGTTAATTACATTGGTTGCCTAACTGGTAAGTGGTATCTACCCAACTTTTTATTGAATGAAATTGCCTGAATAAATGCCTTCGATGAGCATTAATTGGCCATTCACGTTGACGTAGCATTAATTCAGGGTCCAAGCTTGAAAGCACAGGGCAAGGCGCGCAGCCGCAGAGCATGTTCACACTAAGCATTTCTTATTATTTGATTGAATGTTTCTAACGAGAATTCGAGGAGAGGTAACTAGCAGAATAGCTGATGCATTGCAAGCTGATAAATATTCAAAATATTTTCACGTATTGGTATACAAAATTCACTGAACTCTAAATGACAAAATTAAACATAAGAAAGTCCCATAACCAGTTTTCGACTCAACTGCGCTAATGTTGTCGACAGATTGAAGTACTTGGGAGGTCAAAGTGTATCCGCTATTATGAACACAATCTCTTTTTTTGAATTTAAAATTGATAATTCGCTTGGATATGAGTGGAATTTGAAATGAGTTTATTCTGGAAAAAAGACGAAATGATTTCATTTTATTTGCTAATAAGAGATCAAATACATTTATACATCGAATACGAGTAACTTTTACGACAAAGTGGATGCCCAACTCTATTGCTGTTTGTGACATCTAGCGAGCAAATTAGATACTAGTAGTCCTGGTCGGACACCACGCAATTACAGTAAATAGAACCGGGGAGCGTGCGCTCGCGTCGATGGTGATGTGTGTGCATGTGTCGAAATTGAATTTAAAATGTCTAATCAGCGAGTACAGGTGAGCCTTTGGATTCGTTTTGAAGCTGAAATATTGGTGAACAATTTGGTATTATTTTTCCTTAATTTACTGTTTGGGTTGCAGTGTTTGATGCCATTGTTTCTCGTTCCCTCGTCGGTTTTGGTCTCTGTCTCAGTCTCGGTCTCGGTCTGGCTTCATTGCTGTGGCGGGCGTTGGCATGAGTTGTTCACATTTCGCTTGGCGTCGGCGAGAGATGCCGATAGGGCTTATTTGGCTGGATCCCTTCCTCATATTTCTTGAATAGTATGATGCTCAAAATTAATTAATTGTTTCTAATTGATTTAATTTTTTAACATCAGAAAATGCAAATTTTCGTTTTTTTTTTTATTTCATCAAAAATGTATCTTATCGTTCATCCTTGGCACATTCATTTCATTTATCTTCCATGAACACTTAAATATTCCGTTAAATTTCTCACTCGAGTTATTGATCTACGTGCAAATTGCCCTGAACTCCCGCCATAATGATAAGTCGGGCGGGTATATACTGCCTTGGTCGGGGCCCGGGCGTTGGTCGGGCGCAAGCTTCGTACCCCTCCACTATCGTTTGAAGAGGATACTTTCAATCATTTTCTTGCTGGATTTTAAACTGCTCATACATGGTTTTTGTTGTAAGTTTACTGTACGACAAAATATGTGAAGTTTTATCAATTATTAGCCCCATTTTCAACGTTTATTATATACTCGGTTATTTCAACGTTTATTATTATTATACTCGGTGAACGTCTGAGCTTCAAACTTCACCAAGTTGTGCTCGTATGCCGAACGGTACTTTGAGTTTGGTCGTTTCGGGTCGAACGTTGACCTCGCATTCCGTCCGCCGATAGCCCTCCACTGTATCAACATTTCCCACCCCAGCCCCAGCCCCAGCCCCGAGTCCCCGACGTTACCGTCCCCGCTCCTGACGCCTCCCCTCCGTCCCCTTCCCCACTTCCATCCCCTACCCCTATACCTTCTCCCACCCCATTCCCATCCCCACCGTTCTTGTCTCCCCTCCCCTCCTCACGTTACCCGTCCCCCCGTTCCCCGCCGCCGCGCTCCCTCCCCTCCCCTCCCTTTCCCAGTCGGCGGCCGGCGACCTTCCGCCCGCCCCACTGACTCCCCCCCCCCGCCCCGTTCGGCAGATGGTGGGCTCGTCGTGCGGCCAGCACGGCTCCTACACCTTCTACAAGGCGTTCAGCTTCGGCTGCGGCAGCGGCGGCCGGCGGCGCGTGCTGGCGCTGGGCGAGTTCTTTTTCGCGCGCCTTTGGCCGGCGGCGGCTGAGCATGTGGCAGTGGCAGAGCTGCTGGCCGTGTTCGACGACAGCGGCTGCGACGAGCGGCTCGCCTGTCTGCGGCTCTACTTCCTGCCCGAGCACACGCCCGACGGACGGCTCGACTGCCACGGAGAGGTGGGTGACGGGCGAGGGCGAGCGCGAGACGGACACACCGGGCACCCAGGGCACCGAGGGCCCGACAGACCTGACTCACACAATGGTCCTCTGAGTGTCCGCAGGCTGACCTTGACCTTTGACCTTGACCCCTGACCTGGTTACTGACCTTCAGGCCTTGAATCTGACCCCCCCAGTGATCTTTGTCCTGACTCCTGACCTTGACCTTAACCCTGATCCATGACCTTGACCTCCATGGGCCGTGACCTGACATGTTTGACCCTGGCATTGACCTCACTCAATTTCGATGGTCGGCGACTGTAACAAAGACCGGCGGTATTTTGGTTCCTGGCAGCCGTGTCTTTGTTTGGGTTATAAGCGGATGGGCACCAGTCCGGGGTCGCTGACCGTTTATTCATTTGGTTGATCTGTGACCGATCGTTGGAGATGAGTCGTTGGTCGCTGGTCGTTTGCCGTCGGTCGTTCCATTTGATCGTCGGTCAATGGCCACGCGGTCAGCGACGATCATTGGTCATTTGCTGTCGGCGTTTGACCTTTGGTCGTTT